TTTTTAAATTTTAAATTAAGTGTCCATAATTTATTTTATTTTAGTCAAATCCTTATAATTTTATTCATTAAATATGTTGATACTTGAAAGTTAAAATTCTTAATTTTTTAAATAATCCAAAATAAATAGATATTTAACAAACAAATTTTATCAGATTAACTTTTGCTAAATGAATTTTATCAAACTTCAGAACTAAACACCTCTCTCGGAAGTTACATCAACTTGTGACAGAAAATAAGGTATCAATCAAAAAGTGTCAACCGTGTTTCACCTAAATGCTTATTTTAATGGAGGAAACAGAAAAAGCACTTAAGAAAGTCATGGATTTTTTTGTCAACATTTGCACAATCTTTCAAAAGTAACACAACATGTGTAAGCTTACGTTTCTCTTTATTGGAAACAGAGGATGGAACCTGCCTGGAGCTGATTTCTAACAAATTATAAAATATAACAAAGGTTTAAAAGTTTTTAAGTAATTTTACTTACTCGGTTTTATATTTTATTTATATTTAAAAATATCAATATACTACTTTTTTTTTAGAAATTGAACTCGTTAAAAATCTTATGTCCTCTCTATTTTCTTATATTATAATTGAAGGTTAATATCTTGTGTATTGCATAAGTATAAAATCTAGTTCTATTGAAAACAGAGGACTAAACCTACCTTGAGTTTATTTGAATTTAACCTATTGTTAGCAAGTATTAAGGTGCATAAAGGAGAGAAATTAAGAATGTTTGTAACCTCCTTTTTATGGCTTTCTTCGTTCAGAAAAAGAGGAGACTCAATTAGGATATGTTATTACAAATGCGAATCTGATTTTCTTATGCTTTTAAGGAAACTTGTGTGGGTCTTGTGTACGCTCTCTATGATTTATGAATAGTATGGCTAGTTAAAATTTGCATGTTACGCATAAATATACAAACTCAGTTTAAATAATAGGTCATAATGGCTTTCTCTACGTCACCAAAGCTTTTTCCCATTTGCACGTATTATATGAAAGCAAAAGTTGTGTGTGGGTGTTTTTTTAAAAAAAAAATTATGGTGTTATGAAAGTCTAACTCTGTATATATTTATAGCCCAGTCTCAAGTCTAAGTAAAAGAGGTGGATTGTGTTAAACCCTTGACAATCAATACAAAACTTTATTGAATCTCATGTAGATAATATTGTTAAATCTATATAACTGATCTTATCTAATGAGATATAATTTATTATTATTGTTGTTATTATATAAATTTATTTAAGATATGGGTGAAAGTTATCATCATAAAAGCTAATGAGAGTAGTTCTTGCACTTGCAGAAAGGGAATTAAGCATCATTTGATGAAGTAACTAAAATTCCTAAGTTCCCATATTACCCTCTAATTCCTCATAGAATCATAAAAGAATATATCCTAGGCTTGTTCAACACATTATTAATTAAACACGGTCAGTAATTTATTAATTACTTTTAAACAGAAAATAAACATCAAATTCTTAAAGGGTTAAGTTGCATTTTCCTCTTATACCTTTTTCTAAACAGCACTAGGCATCTTGTACTGATAATTGAGGTATTTGTTTTTTTCTAAACCATTTTCTTGAAAAGTAAAATTCCTCTACATGGCCATTGCCACCTCATCAGGTAACTTCTAAGTTCATGCAAGGAGAATTTTGCTCCTCAAAAAAATAATTTAGAAGAAAAATGCCTTACTTGTTAATATAGGGTGCCTAGTCTCCTCCAAAAAAGTATAAGAAAAAAAATAGTACTTTAACCCAATTTTTATACATGCACAAATATGTCTACACCCTTTACATCTACACACATATATTCAAATATTCTGTTTTTATAAAAATATATAGATAATTATTATTCATCATATAAAAGGTGCATTTTCCTCTTATATCTTTTTTTAAAGGATGCCGGGTATCCTGTACTGATAAACGAGGCATTTTTTTTCCAAACCATTTTATTGAGAACTAAAATCCCCCCACTTGTCATTGCCACATCATTAGGTAATGTTTGAGTTCATGTCAGGAGAATTTTGCTCCTTAGAAAATGGTTTAAAAAGAAAAATCCCTACTTGCTAATACAAGGTACGTAACCTCCTCAAAAAAAGTATAAGGAAAAAAGAGTACTTTAACCCAATTTTTATATATGCGCAAATATGTATATACCCTTTATATATATACATATATATTCAAATATTCTGTTTTTATACACACACACATATATATAATTATTATTCATCATATCAAATTTAATATTGTTTATATAATTTTCTAATAAATCAAGTTTCATATTATAAAATTTATAAATCATAAAACTTATATCTTTTTTAATAGTTTCAGATAACTTTTAATGCATTAAACTGATTTTTTTTAAAGAAAAACGTATATCTAAATGTAAACTGATTTTTGATAAATAAACTTTTGTCAAATTATTTTTTTCCAAATAAACTTTGATCAAACTAAAAAATAAACATATCTCTTTTGTAAGTTACATCAATTTGTGACAGAAAGTGTATCAATCAGGGAGTACTGTCTCTCATAGGTGTTTTACCAACCTGCTTATTCTAATGGAGTACAACAGAGAAGCACTTAAGAAAGTAATAAATTTTTTGTCAACTTTGACACAATCGTTCAAAAGTAACATAACATGTACACTTGTGAGCTTATGTTCCCCTTTGTATTTGTCTTCTCATATATATGATGAAGCACCTACCAGTTGCCCCTATCATTGTAAGTTGCTGATATAAAGACATATGAGTGCCAAATTGCCAAAGATGTTTGCCCATGAAGAAATAACCAAGTGGGATCTTAGACAAGGAACTTGGTTCTGTTCAATAATATTCAATATTGTTAGATTAATAAGTGGTTTTGTGTCAATAACATATATTTCCAAATTTTGCTCTGCAAAGTATATGCTGATATTAATTAAGCAGAAGAAAAATGGGTGAAAAAAATAAAATACATGATTAATTAGTTGCAAAAATTATATAAAAGTAGGTTAACATACCATTTTGCCCCCTATTTATTAGAGCACTCCTTTCCAAGAATTAATGATCAATTATTTTTACAATTTTCAAGAAATTAAGGGATAAAATGGTCTAAATGCTAGAAAATTTTACAAAATCCTTCTATTATGGACCAAAGAGGGGTTATAGAAGACCTCTTATTAAGAGTGAAGGAGGGAGTATATCTCAAACCCTTTAATTTTATTATTATTATTTTTTTTTTGGCCAGGACATCAAACCCTTCATCAATTGATTGTTGTTAGAATATTAGTTCTTTTTTTATAATAAATAAAAAAAATGAATATATCTCTTATTATTCAATTATTTAAATAACAATCTTTTATTAAATTTTAACATAAAGGGATTAATATTTCCAAAAAAAATAAAGAAAGAAAGAAAAACCAATAGAAATTTGCCAATGAATAGTTCATATAAGATCGATTTCATCAGTTTGCTTCCTTTAAAATTTAAGTTAAATTCAATCTCTTGATTTGAATATTTAATATCCCTCTATCTTAATTTATAAAGTATTTTTTATAAAATTATACATATTAATAAAGTTCATTGAATACAATTTATAATGTAATTTTTTTATAAATTTTTATGAATAACTTTCATTAATAAGACAGAAAAAAGAAAATTTACTCAAAGAGCAAAATAATAAAGGGTAATATTGAAATAGTCAAAATTAATAAAATCCTATTTTTTAAAAAAAAAGGTCTTATATTTTAAAAGATTAAACCATTTCAAAAATGCCTTATATAAAATGATGAGATGGAGGGAGGATGCTCTTTAACATGTTGATTTTCATGATCATCACATGCATAAGCCCTTGAAAGTTATTGTCTCAAATCCAATTAATAAGCGGCCACATTTCAATCAGTACATATGAACGAATTAAGGCCTAGAGATCAAGTGCCATGTGTACTCTTAAGAAAAATACACATGGACGTAGGCTTCCACTTCCTTTGTTTCTTTCTTAAAAGTCTAACATAACGGGAAGAGGGTGTCTCCATTTTTCTTTCTTTCATTTCCTTCCATTTCTCTCCCATCACTTTTGGATCAAACATTTTCAATGGTTTAAATTTAATTTTAAAAAAATTATTATTTTAATTTTATATAAAATATATAAATAAAATATTATAGTTTTAAATGACTTAGATTAAACTTTAATAACTTAAATTTATTTACACACCTTTTTTATAAAATAAAATAATAATTTTATTAAAGCCTCAATCTAAACCGTTAAATTTTTGATCCAAAGGTGATGGGAGAGAAATGGAGGGAAGGGAAATGGAGACACCCTCCTCACCTAACATATCATATGTTTTCTTTTGCCAACATCCCCCACCTCTATCTCTCTCATACGCACAATAATGAGAGAATCACACTTAAGGTCCCCAAGATAAAAATGTTCTCACATAATACCCAATGCGTTCTAAATTAATTATACAGATCTAAAGATCTTTTATGAAAATATATTTTTTGGTGAAAAGATTCATTTTCCCTTTTCTTGAAAAACTAATATCTTGTTAGACTATGTATAATAAACAAACAATATTTTATTAATGTATGAATCTTGTCATATTATATACAAATATTTTGTTGTATATATACTTGAAAAAAGTATACATTATTACTCAATTAAATCACAAGAACTATGCATGATGAATGGACATTGTGTTATTAATATATGAACATTATCATATTATATATAGATATTTTGTTATACATATACCTGAAAAATTTGTCCATTTCAAATGAGATGCAAATGAGTTTTTCATTAGAAAACACATTTGCATATAAGGCCTCTAGGTCTTAGGTGTGAAATTTTTTTATTTGAGATCTTTAGATGCGATTTTCCCAAATTATAACCTTCAATCAAAGTACTTCCGTGTATTGCTGCCCAAAAAGAAAATCATAAAAACTTGGCCATCAATGTATAAAATATTGTATTCGGCTTGCCAGTAGTCATCACACTCTCTCTCTCTCTCTCTCTCTCTCTCTCTCTCTCTCTCTCTCTCTCTACACACACACTCGGCTTGCCATTAGTCATCACACACACACTCTCTCTCTCTCTCTCTACACACACACTCACAAAAGTGCATATGTGTGTGTAGGACATATATTCATCTCATGGCTTCGTCTCTGTCATGTTTCTGCTGCTCCAACCAGAGGATCATATTTCACTACCCCAGAATGAGGTCCCAGAGCTTTAGAGACAATGGTATGTAACGCGCGCGCGCGCGATACATCAGGTTTGTTATTCCTAGATATGGATCTTTTAACTATATATAATGATTTTATCTGCATGCAGGGAAGCCAGAAAACAGTGTAGATGCAAACCTGAGGGTTTTAAGGGCGAGAATCCATAGAATCAAGGAGAGAGAAAAGCTTGTGGATAGATGTGGTTGGAATTATAAGCATGTTTGTGAGGATAAGCACAAGATATCATCATCTCCAAATGATCATAAAGCTAATTTCTTATCAGAGTTCGCAGAATTGATGGCCATAATCTGTGGTGCTATTGGACTTGTCTTTCTCTTCGGTTCTCTCTGCCTCTGCCTTGTATCACTGCTTTTTGGGTTCATATCTAATAACGATGTGTGAACAATATACCCTCTTGTTTGCTGATCAAATAACATGATAGAGGGGGGGAAATCTTGACTTCATTTTCTGGGATGTGGAAATTTCCTTTTCTTTGTGAGTTTGTTTTTCTTCTGTGTTATTTTCACCTTGGTTTTGATGATCATCTGACGATGTATATAATTTCAAGAGTTATGGTGAATGATATTTTTATGCAATTAGCAGCTGATATAACCCAATAATGAAAACATGTTTTGAATTTAGATTTTTTTTTTTTTGAGTGGGAATTTCTCAAACAAACTAGAGGGAATGGCATTAAAGGACTAAAAGATTGAAGTAAATTTATATAAGGACCAATAAATGATTTGGAAATAAAAAAATAAGGACCAAAAGTTCTTTAGTGAATTGATTAAAAATATTTTGAAATTTTTTTTCCAAGGACGTTTGGCATTCTAAACTTATTTTAAAGCATTTTTGCTCCGAAAATTTCCAAAAGAGAGCATTGTTGTATGAAGGTGTTTGGATATTTATAAGAAAATCATAGTTTTGAGCTCAAAATTGATTTTGACATATATAATGAGTGTTTAGATTTTTTAAAAAAAAACATGATTCAAGATTCATAATTGATTTTAAAATATAACATGGGTGTTTGGATACATTTTTGTAAAACCATAGTTTTACCTTATTTTCAATTCTGATTAAAATTGATCTTATTAATCAATTTTATAAATCAATTATATACCACATAACATAATCAATTATATTTCAAATCAATCATATTAATTAAATTTTTAATAATCAATTATACCTAATTGAAATATAGGCACACCTTGTGATTTTTAATGGCAAAAATATTTTAAAACTTTCTCTCCAATAACGCCTGGCATTGTAAATTTCTTTTGAAGCATTTTTGCTTTGGAAATTTCCAAAAGAGAGCATTGTTGTATGGGGGTGTTTGGATATTTTTAAGAAAATCATTGTTTTGAGCTCATAATTGATTTTGGCATGTATAATGGGTGTTTGGATATTCTTTTAAAAACATAATTTTAAATTTATAATTGATTTTAACATATAACATGGGTGTTTGGATACATTTTTACAAAACCATAGTTTTATCTTATTTTTAATTCTGGTTAAAATCAATCATATGCTACATAATATAATCAATTATATTCCAAATCAATCATATTAATTAATTTTTTTCATAATTAATTATACTCAATTGAAATCTAAAAACACCCTATGATTTTTAACAGTGGGGCAAAAATAATTTATTTTTTAAACTTTCAAAAAAAATACTTCAAAAAAAATTTGGGATACCAAGTGTCTCTAACGAAAAAGTTCCAAGACATTAGTAAAGATTCACAAATTTATAAAGAAAAATCTTGTCAAACATATCGTTACTTTCAATAACTCATTATTCTTATACTTTATTTGCAATTTTCAAAACATGAATTTGCAAGTAAATTAAGATTTGATATTTATAAATAAAAAGTGGGATATAATTAGTGTGTCAAATATAACGCCCCTTACTTGAAATTTGTTCACAAAAGAATTTGAGCTAGGATTTAAAAATGGCCTACTTATAAAAAAATTAAATACTTTTTTTGGAAGGCTATTTGGGACATACTTCAACTCAAATCTACCTACACTGAAGGGAGTACTCCTCTTTAACAAATTTGTTTTTTTGGATGCAATTCTCTTGATTTTTCAATCCATATTCTATGAGATTGCATAGAAGCTCGTAACATTTGGATTGAACTGGTGAACCCTCAAAACTTAATACTTTATTTTCCTTTTCTGTGCAAGATTAGATAATTTAGAATGCAAAAGTTAAGGTAGGAAATCTAAATACAAGAAAGATCTTTTGGCAAAGACTTTTTGCTCAGGTTTGCTAGAACATCTGGAAGACGCGTTGTAAAAAAATCTATTTTGGGGAAACCTTTCAGAATGTCGACATTGCTTTTTCTAGTACCCAGCAAATCACCAATGACATGAGGCTTCAATCTAAAGTTAATTTCCTAAGTCGTGATTGCAAAAGGCTAGAGGTATGTTGGGCACCCCCAGAAACAGGCTAGATCCGTCTTGACACTGATGGGGCTGTCAATTCCATCAGAGTGACTACTTGTGGTGGAATCATATGAGACGATAAAGGCAATTGGATTAAGGGTTTTTTCAAATACCTCGGTTATCATCCAAGCATAATAGCAGAACTATTGGACATTTTAAAAGGACTACAACTTTGTTGGAATGTCCATTTCGACAAAATCAACATATGCTCTGATTTCGTGGAAGCATTTTCACATATCCAACATAATTTCCCTAATAACCATCCTCTCTCTAGAATTATCAACAGAGTCAAAACTTTAATCATGAAAGATTGGATCATTACCTTTAAACACACATTTAGGGAAGCAAACAGATGTGCGGACATGCTCGCTCACCTTGCCTCTCAGGATAATTTTAATCTTATTATTTACAATCATCTGCCCTTAAGATGCAAATCTCTTATGGAATCTGACATGACCTGATTTTATTCTACTTTTACACAGATTTTTCGTGTCTTTGTATTAAAAAAAAGAATTATCCATAATAATTGTTAAATGATTTAGCAGTTAGCTAGATAATCTTAATTAAAATTTAAAACCATAACTAGTTTTGGAATTAATGAAGCTATCGAAAGAATAAGACAACAACATAGTTCTTCTTTTCTTTATTTTCATAAATTACTCAATAGTCAAGTAATTAATGAAAGAGATTAAGATCTAACCAAGGCAAAACAATACGTTTTATTTTTTGAGTATATAAAAGTTTCGCATAATGTTAAGAAATGTCAAGTCAAGAATGACTTTGAACATGTGTCATATTATGCACTACAGCACGTACATAGGACCAATCCAACTAATCCACCAAACCCATATTGATCCGATAAATACCTGAACGTCCTTATCTGTTTTCTTCAATTACTATCACTAATTAATCATTAATCATTAATTAATTATAAATTAACTAGATGACACTGTGTCCTCACTCATTTTTCTAAAAGCAACTTAGACATGGTAGTTATTTTCAATGGCCACCTACGCTCCCTCCAGTGGTTCTACTAATTATTTATACAACCTTATCAAATAATGAAGAAAATGATTGGAAATTACTTCATACTTACACAGTGGCAGATGCAGGTCTCTGAGTCAGTGGGAGCATAAATTATATAAAATATAAAAATAATTAAAAAATAAAAATTTAATATATAAAATAAATATTTACATACCTTACAAGTTTTCTCTATGTCGCTTCATGTTTTAAAAATGTTGAATGATCAGCCCATTACCAATGCTATTAAACCATAGGTTTTCCATTCGATTATACAACCAATTTTTCACAAACTTAACAAAAAAGGCGCTTTCTATTGTTACTGTGGCAACAAGCAATATCATTGCTTGCTTTAATCAGTTTCTCACACTTAACCCCACATTTTCACGCCATTCACTCTGTCTCTCATCTTAGACTCTATTTTCTAGCAAAGAGTCTCTTCATCTTCTTGTCTTTTGGTCTTCTTTTAGTTTTTGTATGTTTTAAAATTTCAAATTTTATTTTTATTAAGGTTATATATTATTTAGTTTGACTTTAGATTTGTAAAATATTAAAAAACAAAATTAAAATTATATTCTTATAAAAGTAATCTAAATTTAAATGTAATAAATTTAAAATTAAAATCTATTAGGTTTAAGTGAAATATAAAAAACCTAAATATTTTTGAACTCAAATACATTTCAGTTTAGATTTAATGGGTTCAAAATCATAGGGACAATGGGGAAAAATTTTTAAAACCCCTACCACTCTTTATAATTTTTCCAACTTGAGGGGAGGCAATTGCCCACCCTTAATAATATATAGGTCCACCACTGTACATACATATAATATACTATGCAGCTTTAGCAAATTTAGCCAACATTATATGGCTAAATAAAACTAATAACTCACCTTTTCCTAAATTAAAATAATGGTTGTTTCCTAGTTTATCTTTGATACAAAAGATAAAACTATCCTTAAATATCACAATACCCTGATTTTTCTTTTTCACACCGGTTTCCTTTCACCCACCCGAAGACATGAAGACGACACTGCACTCTCAGTCATGACGGCAAAGAAACTAACAGTAGAAAATGAAACAGCTCACACAAATAGATAAATAGAGTTAGTGATTCAGCCAGGAGACCACAAGAATGTAGGAAAGGTAGACTAGAAGCTACAGATTTAGGTTGAAAAATCATGAATGCAAGGTGAGGAAGTCTGAAATTGCAACTTTTACACAAAGCCATACTAAAGCTGCAGATTCGCTGATTCGGGGTGAGGAAGTTCGGTCAGACTCTATTACAAGAGCTAGAGTTCAAGTGAGGGTTTCTTGAGATTTTGTTTGATCTATTTTAGGAAAATGATTATGTATTTTTCGTGTTACTGATTTGTGATACTACATTATTGATATACGATTGTCTATCAATTATAAATAAGTTTATGTCTGATTGTCTAATTATATTGATTTACGATAGTATATCAATAATATATTATTATATATCACTCATATATAAGCCATATCAGCAAAAACTTATCAATTTATTTATTATTGCTATACAGTCGTATATCAATGATATAGTATCGCAGATTAGTAATAGAGTTTCTTTTTTAATGTTAAAATCCTCTTCGTAATATTTGGGAAAAACAAAGAGAGAGATAAAGGAAAAGCTCTGCCATAAAGATGGTAATCTAAGAAAATTAGATCAAAAATTTTGATAAAGAAAAGCACTTTGCGAGAGATAAATATAATGATCTGAGAAAATCATATCCAAAAATCTAATGAAGAAAACATTCAGAGATGATAAATCAGCGAGGAAGCACACACAATATGATTTTTGATGATAAAAATGAAAGATCCAATTAATTAAAGATTAGTTAAATCAAATATATTATATTTTAATAATAGATTTATTCTGAGGATAAAAAAGAAAAACACATCTAATTGATTTTATAAATAGATTATATTTTAAAATATTTAAAAACCTCATTCATAATTTATGAGTTATATTTTTTGAGACCATTGAGCTAATTTTTTCTAGTTTATTTGTGTTATTCCAAAAAAAAAAAGATTGGGTTTTGGGTTTATAATATGTATGTTGTTGTAACACGTTGCGATTTATTTTAACCAAACAACAGAAAAACGAAAAATTTAGACTTTCTTTTTTTTTCGTGGGCGAAATTAATTAATTTAAATTTAATTTTTTGTGCATTATTTTGGATGAAGTATATATAATACATGTATTGGACGAAGGATAAAGAAAAAATGATAATGTATAGAAACAATACATGCTGATGAACACGTGGTTAAATTATACTTCCTTTGTCCTCATATATAAAAATTTTTTTAAATTTTTTTTATTTTCTAAATATAAAAAATTGTTAGTATATTTTTAATGAATAGATCATTATAGCCTTGTTAAATTAAAAAAATAATAAGTATTCTCATTAATTTATTTAAAAAAAGAGATTTATTTTATTTATTTATTTTGAAGTATATGAGGATTGTTTAGAAGTTAAGACTCCGGTTTAATTTCAAAACACTCACTTGTTGGCTTTTTCTGAAGCGTGAAGATCACTGAAATAGGCTTGCGGGTTGCCCTCTAGCACGTCCCTCGATGTAAATGTATACGCTCCTCCCCCACGTGGCGCGCGCTTTCATGTCTCCGCCGCCGCTCTTACCGCTACCACCTCCACCACCGTAACTGCCACCGGTGTCGCCACTGCCTTTGTCTTCACCTCCACCTTTGCTTCTACAGTCGCCTCCGCCTTGCGGCCTTTGCTGCCCTTATTTTCAAGGGATATCTAAAGCAAATATGACAACTTGAGATTTCTACGAGAGAAATGTTGTGGCATGATATATACTCCTTCATTTCTATTAAAAAAAAAATGTATCATATGATTTAAGAACATAAATTAACTACAATAATTATATGTAAAAATAAAGAAATTAACCTAAAATGCTTTATGTTAATTAATATAAACATGCATTGACTGTTTTTCATTAATGAAAATTATGAGAGATTATTTAAAAAATTTATAATTAATATTTATTAAAATATGTGATTTTACTTATAAAAAATGACAGTTTTTTTAACAAATAAAAATGGAGTCTAAAAGGTGACGTTGTTCATGAACATTGGAAATTAACAGTGGGTTTGCACATGCTGACCGATTTCATTTTTGCTTCCCAATGCATACACACATACGAGTGGGCCTAATTATGCACAATCTCAATCGTATGTGTAAGAAGATAATAAAGTGCATTAGAATTAACATTATATAACAATGCTGTATAGAAATCCTCCAATCTTATTCAACCTAATTTAACTTGAGAAGGTCCGATCTTATTCGATCTTATTAAAAATTAGTCTTTAAGACTAAAAAGATCAAACTATTTTTTTAACTTGGACTAGACAGGAAACTGAATATCTAAACTATTAGTTCCTGACACAGTCACACGCTCAAACTAATAATTACTTGGAATGTAATTGAAATATTTTTTTCTTATTGAAAATTATTATAGATTTATTATAATTATGAGTGTTTTTATTATCTTAATTAACTTTATTAGTTTGAAATGAATTATTGCCTCTCGAAAAAAAAAACTAAGTGAGTATTGAATTAACAGAATCAATCTTTCAATTCTACGGATCTGATTTTTTTTATTAATATTCAAATTATTATTAAATCAGACCGGATTATAATTTGTTTAATCCAATTCTTTTTATAAAAAAGATTAGATTTTGGGTCTGATAAAAGACTAATTCTTTGTACAGCCCTATCATATGGATATGGTCGACGTGGATGGTGTTTCAGTTTTCTATTTCTGATCTTTTTCATGGATTCCAATGCACCCTCTTCATTCTCATACTTGTCTCTCTTTATTGCATACATTATAGAAACCTTTCGAATGTTCGACGGTTCAAACGTAAACATGCAGTGAATTGAGGTTAAAAAAAGAAAAAAGCAAATATGCAGTTCCACAATATTAAGGGTGAGCAAAGTCGGACCAAATTAAATTGAATTGAATTCGTTCTACTTAATTACACCGCTCGATTTGATATTTTTTTAAAAACGTCTAGGAGTTGTTAAACCAAATAGAACAACTGAATTATAATTATAATATCATATATATTTTTAAAAATTGAATAAATTAGGAAAAAAAAACCCTAAGATGCATCTCCTCTCCATCTTCTTAAGAATTATCTTTCCATTTTCTCCTTATTTGCCTTTTCATTTTCTGTGTCCTACCTTTTATTTGCAATAATAGTCCTTTTTTGTTTGATGTATTGTAATAAAATGACCAAGTTTTTGGGTTAATGGGGACAGAAGAGTGTGCACAAATAGGCTTCTTAGGCCCAACTGAACTGTTTGTTCACGGACCCTCTGCTTCCAAGGAAATACTTGGAAGGACCAATGGATAGTTTCTGTAAAATTTTAAAACATATTGTGAGCTCATCTTGACATACTTTTTCCAACAAATCCCTTGATTGTTTAGTTTAAATTCTCCAACAACTTTCTGATCATGTTTAAACTTAAATAAAATTACTTTTCCTCTTAATCTTAAACAAAAATCCACAACGAAACAATAACAATATAGCATAAATTTCCATTTGAAAAAAGTAAGAAAAAAAATAGGCACTAATTTAACGTCATTATTTTTATGTCAGCTTGATGCAATGCTCAAAAATAATAAATCTCTGGTAATAACATAAATAAGAGACTAGTATATATTTAGGTGAGAGAGAGAAAGAGACCCAGATTTGGCCCCGAACACTCAGAAGAAACACAATCCAGGTTTTATGCTATTTGGGTATGTCTCTGATTAAGAATTATCATTGGTTCATTATTATTATTTTGTGTTGTTGCTTCTTGTTTCTTCCCAGCAAAGTAATGGGATAGTCGTGGATCTATGTATACTTTATTGCTGGACTTGTGCATTATATTTCATCTTTACACAGGAGTTATGCTAATCTTTTATGTAACGTCTCAATTTTATCAGATGTCCCAAAGAGACGATGATTATGTATGTTCATATTTTAATTAGCTATCAACTTCTCATTATAATCATTATTAACTAATAATTAAGCGAAATCGCAAGGACTATCTTTCTGTTTAATGGAGGCATGCACTGAACTTAATTAAAGTATTAAACTATATATATGTATATATAGCTGATGATGACACATTTTGCAAGATATGGAATCACCGAAAAAGTTTATTGTATTATTATTATTATCATTATTATCATCATTATTAAAGTAAAGGAGTCAAACACACATGAGACAGACTACTTGTTTGCCTTGGCTGATGCATGAAGACCACCAAAATAGCCTTGAGGATTGCTCTCAAAGCCACTCCTTGATATGTTAGCTCCACCTCCACCTGGTGCTTTCATTTGCCCTCCCCCACCACCACCGGAGCTCTTTCCACCGCCCCTTCCGCCACCTTTACTGCCGCTGCCACCACCTCCTGCCTTGCTGCCTCCGCCGCCGCCTTTTCCACCACCACTGCCACTTTTTCTACCCATGTTTCAGATGATCCTATAATTCAGATATGTGTGACTAGAGTTGAACAAGGAGGCTGCTATTTATAGAAGAATTTTGAAAAAAGAAAAGGAAATGAATGGTCGAATTTATTGGTAACGCCTCTCTTGCTTGCTTCCCCAAGTAAAGAGTAAAGGAGAGATTTCAGATTTGCGTTGCTGAGCTTTTTTCGAGTTCCAATGTATATAGATACAGAGACCCTTCCTTTTTCTCATCATATCATAGTTATCTTGAGAAAAAAAATAATAATAACAACAACGTTTTATGTTTCATGATTCAACCGTAGTCACGAATATTAAAAATTAAAATCTAAAAACTCTTTATTAAAACGAGCGACGGAGATTAATTCATGAACAAAGTTAAGCATCAATAACAGGATGGCATTTTAGTCCAAAATATTGCATTTAGGATATGTTTCTACTGGACCATAATATAAAGTATTTTTTAAAAGTCTTATCTAGGAGAGAATGACAGTTAAATTCCAAAATATTGAATTAATATCAGTTAAATCCTTGATAATTTTTTTAAAAAAATAAGTTAAAAATATCAATTCAAATTATTCCAAATCATGGAGTTTCAATTGCAAATAAATATTTAAATATCAAATATAATTTTTAAATTATAACAAACATTTTTATTTATAACTATTTGAATTGATATTTATAATTTATTTTATATTGAGAACTTAATTTTCATTAATTTATTTCGTTAAGACTTAATTGTCATTCTTTATTACATAGTTCAAAATATAGGATATTGAATAATTTATAATTATTTTTTAACTATGCATGTACTCCATTTATTACTCTTTTTGAAAAAAATTAAACATTAGAATTTCTATTGTAATTATTAAGACAATTAAAAAAATGTAAAATTTTATTTTTAAATTTTTTTTAAATAATTACTAATATCTTATATTGTGGTCCATAAAGAGTGATTATTCAGATAAACTAACTTTTAAAAGCTGTGTGAAATAATAAAAATGTATTTATATTTAAATATGGATAGGATTAATAAAGACTTCCCCCTCCCAAATTAAAAACACCTTTAAAGAAGATTTGACATCTCAAAATATAAAACACTTTGATAAAAATAAAATTTTATAAATGTTATTTTATAAATGGAGTATCAAATTAATGATATTTTTGAAAGTTTATATTTTTATTTTTAAAAAATAAAGTTGTAAAGTGTATTTAATGAACTTTATTAGCATGTGTGATTTTATCTAAAAGTATCTTATAATTAAATTAAAATTTATATTTTATATATGCATTAATAATTGGCGAACCTTTTTTGACCTGAATATAATTGGCAAACTTTATCTCATGAAAATTAATTTTATTTGGCCAGATCTCAAAAAAATTAATTGTTAATAATTATTTGACGCTTATTTTTTTTCTCATATAATTATGCTAACGATAAGGTTTCTAGCGTTAATGAATTATAGTTAAGTTTAGTAGGAGGTTGTACTAAGTAGTCTCAGAATTGGATCCCTAGTTTGAGAGAGAGAAATTCGTGCATCCTAAGACAAAAATATTGTGAATGACAAAACCTTTTTAATTTGCACATTCCTTTCCAAATCCACAATTAAATATTGTCAAAAATTTTAAAAATAAAAATAAAAAAGAATATACTAACCAAATCTTTGTTTCACTGGAGTTAGAAGAAGGGGTGATCATATAGTTTAATTATGGCCCAAGAATTCAGAGAAAGAGACACCATAAATGGGCTTCTTTGCTAGGCTCAAGCAACAATTGAACAAAAATTCTAGATTTGTTCTTATTGGGCCTGTTTGATTTTGAGATTGTTTGGTATTAAAAAGGTTTGATAAAGCACTTGTTAAGAGAGAAGTCCACGAATAATACCTGACTGTGTCTCGAATAAAATTATTTTTAATAAAAAAATACTTGTAAATAATAATAAAAAAGGTTGGAGAAAGTAAATTTTTTTTAATACAAGGACACGAAAAACCTATATAAAAGATGAATAGGATCAAGTCATGTCAAATTCTAAAGGATCTACATCCTAAAGGCGAGTGATTATAGACAATAAGATCAATAGTAAGTAATTTTCTTATATCTATAAATAATAATTAATCTCAAGATTAAGTAAAAGAGAAAGTAAATATACATGTAAAAGAGAAAGTAAAATTTTCAAGAGCAAGTAATTTGCTTTTACCTGTAAATAATAATTAATCTCAAAGTTTGACCATTTTAGATAAGTAGTTGACCCAACCACATGGCTCAATATAATTCTCTTATATGCTTGCATGCTATGCACTTGTGAGATTTCATATATTGTGGATATGCTCTTTTTCTATGAAAGCTAAATGATTTGTTATTAGTGAAGAAGGAAAATAAGTTGAAATATGAGCTAAATGATTTGTTATTAGTGAAGTAGGAAAATAAGTTGAAATATGATTTTATGATCAACTTGTGATATATTTTATGTAACCGTGTGTTTGAGCAATGTTAATGATTGGCTTGTATTGACATGATCATATTATTGTTGTGATGGGAACCTAAATTTCTCAAACCTAAACATTTTTCTATAAACCTACTTAGTTCATTTTGCTATGATTAAAAAAAAGGGGGGGAAAGAATCTATTAAAACACTTTATCATAGTATGAAAAAATGAAACCAATGCTAGAAAGTTAACTATAGTAAGAAAGAATATAACTTACAATCAGAAGTATACAGTGATTGAATAGAATTAAACATAATAACAATTGGAAGTTATAGTAGAAAAAGATTAAATTAAAATAATATTTAAAAGACTATTATAGTTGAAAAGAGAAACAATTATTCTTTTTACCAACAAAAAACACCGTTTTCATGATAGAAAATAATTCTAATAAAAATAGTTTAAAATCCAAATAAAAACATGTATAGGATATTCTAAACACAGTGCGGTATAAGACTTTTAACTTTTGATTGTTGCCAAAAGTCTTTTTTTTTTTTGGTAATCAAAAGTTTTTTTAGTGTAACTCTTCACTTAATTAAATATGAGAAATTTGAAGAATATTATTAATTTTTGGAAAAATTTAATGCATTTAAATGTTCGACCACTTTTTTATTTTTTATGAGATAACTAATGGTGACTTATATATGAGACCAAGAGAACTGTACATGAATAAATTTTTTTTATACATATTAATCCTATTTTAGTGGCAAGTAAAACTTGTTTGATTTGAATTTTTTTCAATAGAGACAGTCCAAAAGATGTGACACTCTCTAATGTCCTGAAAATGCCCATTTTTGTTTCTCTAAAATTAAACTTGGACGCATCACATGCAAACGCCGATGTCTTTTAAAACCGAAATATTTTTAATCAATCAAATTGATTCGGCTCCTTCCAAGAAGGGACAAGGAAAGAAGCTTGTTGACCAGAAATTAATGATATCTTCTAAAGAGGGATAGATTCTAGGAAATTCCTCGATTCAGTGGTAAAATTTCAATCCTCATTATCTCCCAAATTAATATATAAGTCCTTCTAATTTTTTAGTTTTGAATTCATTCCTGCAATTTATTTTATTTTATTTTAATTAAATCATTGTAGTTTAATCGGTTAAATATGTTAATCCTTAAAAGTTAAAACCTTTGAATTTTCGTTTTAAAAAATGGAATTAAGAATTTTTCTATTTTTAGTAAGAGATTATATAATTTTAGAATTAATTATATTATTTTTATAACTCAAAATTTTATATAATTAGGTTATTCCTTCTAACTTTTATACAAATATAAAGTTTATAAGAAATTCAATAAAAATGTAAATATTGGTCTAAATCATTTTTTCCTAAAAATATTAAATCAATTTTTATATATTTTAAAAGTGTTTTCTCAAAAAAAAAAAATCATTCGTTAATAATTTCAACCTTCAGGAACTTAATTAAGACAAACAAGGATTTAATTAAAATAAAATAAACTATAAAAAACCTAATTTAAATTTGAGTAAAATTAGACTTACCATAGATTAATTTTGCCAAATTTTAATAAGACTATATTAACTATATAATGCAAAGCATGAGATAGAATTTTTTGATATTTGCTTATCCACAACTTGATGGTTCATTCCTCAAAATTTACACGCTACCTTTTAATTTTAATCCTTTAACTTTTTTTTAAAATCAAGTTGTCGTAACCATTTGAACCATTCTTACAACCAATTATTCTATATAATCTAGATAAAACAAACGAAAATTACTCCAACAAAAAGAAAAGTCCAAAACTATCAAATAGTGATAATTTCATTATTTTATGATTTACAAATTAATTAACTTCGATGCCACGCACATATCAGCTTTCAATTTTTCTTTCTTTTCTTTCTACCCCCAAATGATCCAAATTAAGCGTAGACGAAATATAGATCATATCTCTCTCAGTTCAAAATTTTACTAAGAGCACAAACAAGTTAATTCGAGAATATGTATCTGCATATGAACATTCATTGAATTAAAAGATTCCCTCACACTAACCTATCCTGATTTGTTTCTCTCGTCTCTGAAATCTTCATCTCAGATAAATCGGTTCTTCACTTATAGTCTCCAACACAGGCTTCCTTGATCTGCAATAACTTAACCTGTAATGAAACCCTGTTTCAACCCCTTCCAAACTCAACCTCGGACCTCCATTTTCACCACCGTTCTCCGCCGCTTCCGACTCCTCGGCCGGCGCCGTCACAGAAGATTCTCGGGTTTTGTCCGGCATAACACCGACCTTTCCTCCTTTTATCCGCTTGGCGGCAGAGTTCGCAGCCATGAAGAAGACAGCCATGTCGGCCGCCGTGACCATGGAATTCAACCTCCTCATGGGGAACAAGATGTAGACTCCGCCGGACTCAAGTTCCTCATCGGCGCCGAGAGCGGAGAACCTCCGGCCGATGTGCAGAGAGCCGGAGTTGGTGATGAAGTAGCCAGGACACTCGAGCATTAGCTCCGCCGCCTTCGCCGTCTGCTTGTACTGCTTGACTTCGCCGGTGGGGAAGATCACCCTCGCCGCCCTGGTATTCTTCATCAATGGAGTACGCAGATTACAGGAGACATAATTGCCCATAATTGTGCAGAGGAATAAGAAGAAGAAGAAGAAGAAGAAGAAGAAGCGGGAAACAGAGCAGAGAAAATATGAGTGAGGTTTAGTGGTTGAAGGAGAGGACGATGATATATAAAGAGAGAGAGAGAGAGAGAGAGAGAGAGAGAGAGAAGGGAAAGAGAGGAAGAAGAGTCAACGAGTGAAATGAAGAGAGAACGCAAAAATTGAGGAGAAAATGGGGAAAGAATAAAATAAAAGGACACGTTAAGGATGAGGTGAAATAGAATGTCCGTGTAAGGAGAGAGATTTTGTTGACTCGCTTCGGAGGATTTTATGAAGGAAAATAATCAATAAAAACCCCTTAACTAAACTTATTTTAAATTAAAATTTTTAAATTTTTAAATATTACTATACTAAAGTCTTAATTTGATAGTAAATTTTTGAAAAAATAAAAAAAATTCTCAATTATATTAATATTAAAACTGTGTTACTTCACTTATTTATTTATTTATAAACTAACATTTATTATTTTATTTTATTTATTTATTGCCTTCCTAAGTTATAGAATGTTGTTTATTATTTTACTTTACTTTGTTATTTTAGGTATTCATTGCTTTACTTTTATTTAATTTTATTCCAATACAATGAATATCCTGCAAATAAATGAATAAATGAAATAAAATAATTTTAATATTAATTTAAATGAGTGATAATTTTATTTTTTTATAAATTTAATATTAAAATAGGATCTCTAACTATAATGATATTTTGTAAATTTAGGAGTTTTGATTTAAAGTAATTTTAGTTAAGATATCTTTATTGATATTTTTCCTTTTATGAATATTCTTTTTTGGAGGAGAGTGGGCGAGAATGCGCGTTTTGGGGGGGGGGGGGGGGGTGGGGTGGGAACAGGGAAGGAGAGCGAAGGGTGGTGGTTTATGGTTGTCACGGTACTGTCTGACTCTCTGAACTGACTTTAGCAGGTGTTCATCCGCGTGGGTCCCTCTTAACTCGCTCACTGTTTTTTTTTTTTTTTGGGAAGAAAACAATTAAACAACACTTATACTCCCTCCATTTTTATTTGTTGCTTTATTTGTTAGGGTAATTATCATTTTTAATTTTTTTATTAGTAAAATTATATATCTCAATAAATATTTATTATAAAATTTTTAAATTACCTTTCTTAATTTACATTAATAAACATAATTAATTTAGGCTTATGTTAATTAATACTCCCTCAATTTAAAAATATAAGACATTTTTAATCAAATTTTATCCTCTAATAAAGTAGTTATTTATTTTCAAATTAACTCTTATAGTTATTCTTATTAAATATTTTATAATAAATATAAAATTATTATCAATAAGAACACTTTTAAAAAAAATAATGATTATACTTTGAAAGACTAAAAATAATTTATATTTTTTAACATTCAATTTCTTAAGAAATGTTTTATATTTTTTAACAAAGGGAGTAATTAATAATAATAATAATAATAATAATAATAATAATGCCTATAAATTTTTTATTATTAAATTTTTAAATCAATAGTAAGAGTAGAATCATATTTATACAGAATATTCATCCTACAATATCACTTATAATACGTTTAATTGGAATAAAAAAATTTAAAATTTATTAACTGTATCTAAAAATAGTAAAGGTGTAAAAATTATAGTGTTTTCTTTTCTTTACTCTAACACATGGAGAGAAAATATTTTCACTCCACTATTTTTTTTTTTTTTCACTTGGCTTCTTCTTCCCCCAAGCTTTAGTTTCCTAATTATTCCTAGTGATCTCCTAGTGAGGGAGAATGGGAGATAGTTCTAAGTCTAACTTTACTTCTTCTTTTTTCCCTTTTTTTCTTCTTTATGCTTATTGTAATTGTACTTCTTGGTTTTAATTAAATTTATTTATTCTTAAAAAAAAAAACAACAAAGCATTAGTCTCGGGTTCGATCAACTTGATTCGAAGAATTTGGATTAATAAGTATCACGGGATATAGGTAAATCATATTTAGTTTAGTGTGAAAATGAGAGAGTTTGGCTTTTTGTGAATTTGTGTTTTCATGGCTTGTAGTTTACATTACCGGTGTAACCAAATGGCAAAAGAGATTGGGATGGCAGCAAAAGTTAAGTTCGCGTGGGGTTTGAATTGCTGGCCTTGTCTTTCACTTTCACATTCCATATAATAATAGCTGCCTCTAATTGTAAAGTAATTAACTGCCACCACATGGCTTGTTATTTGATTACTTGATAGTGGGTACCATAAATTTCATGAAGACAAAAGTGAATTCACATTTTATAAATAATGTAAAAATTTATATACTTAATTTTATATTTTAAATATTTACTTTTAATTAAATCAATACAAGTGTATCTTTTAAATATTATTTATTTTATAATAAATTTTTATTATTAATATTATTAACACATTAAAATTCATGTGTTCTGATTTGGTTGGATGAAAATATATGAAATTTATAAGATTTAGTATAATCATGTATACTCAAAAAATATATAAGGTATTTTAAATCTTTTAATGTGTAATTAATAATATTTTTTTAAAAATACCCTTAATTAGAGGTGTAATTAATAAGGTTTTTAATTGAGACACTCTAAATAATGATAAACATGAAACGAGTGTGTAATTTTAAATATAATTAACTCACTCATTGAGAGATGTAATTTGATTAAAAATATTTATATTATATAATAAAATTGAATGGAAAGAGTAATTTGAGTGAACTATTTTTAAATAGGATCCATGTGTTAATGAATATACCCTATATTATCATATACTGAGTACCATCCCGTCTTAATTTATAAGACAATTTAAACAAAATTATATATACTAATAAAGTTTAATAAATACACTTTATGACACTTTACTTTTTTAAAAAAAAATATAGACTCTCTTGTTACAAAAAATATAAAATTTTAAAAATACCCTTTATTTATTAAAAAATATTAAAAAAGAGAATATATGATAAGAGTAATATTAAAAAAATTATTATTAATAAAATTTTATTTTTTTAAAATATTTTAAATTTTAGGAAGCCAGATCTTCATTAAAGAAATTTAATGAATTAAGATTGAGGGAGTTATTTTATAGAAAAGAATTTACTTAGAACAATATACACCCGGCTGTAGATTGAGATATACACTGACACATTATCATCAAACTCAGCTCGTCCTTGTCGTGAAAGTGTCTGCTTCTTCTTCTTGGGACGCATACTCATCACAAGAAGAGAACTGTGGAATCAAAAGATCACTACGCCACTGGATGATTAGTTTTAACTCGTTAGAAAGTTATACTTATTTAATCAGAAATCTTGAATTCAAATCTTAATAAAGAGTTATGCTAATTTTGGCCTCCCGTTAAATCCACACAACTTGATCAGAGACCAATTTAAGATACCGATTGCTTTTTTAAAAAAAAAATTGTACAGTCATGAAGCAAAGATTATTTATGAGCACATAGAAAATGGTAAAATAATTAGAATTCAACTTATTTTTTATATAATATTTTTTTAACTTTTGACAATAATATAATTTAGCTTTTATTGGTAGATCAACTCAGCTCGATATGAGACAAATTTAAGTTACTGGATGCTTTACAATAAAAAAAAAAAAGAATTGGAACATTGATGAAGCAAAGATTAGTTGCGAGCACACAAATAAAAATGGATAAAAGAACAAATTCGTTCTTAATTATAAGTTTAATAGTATTTGGAAATACTTAACTCATTTTTAGTGTAATATTTTTTTCCAACTTTTTACAACAGTGTGATTTACCCTCTACTATTAAATCCACACGGCTCGATATGAAACAAATTTAAGTTATTGAATGCTTTTACACCAAACAAAAAAATTATACAGTTATGAAGCAAAGATTAGTTATGAGCACACAAATAAAAAGGATAAAAGAATAAATTAGTCTCTAAAGTATATGTCAAAAAGCGTTTGAGACTCTAAACTTATTTTTAATATAGTATTTTCTTCATTTTTTGAAAACAATACAATCTAATCACCAAGTTAACTTTAATCATTCATTGACTAAAAAATGATAGAACATGCCCTCAAAAAAATTTAAAAAAACTAATAAAATTTCTTAGTTCTTTGTATGTAATTGTCTGGTCCTTTATTACAATTTTTTTGGTCCATTTTCATAATTTTAATATTTTTTTAATCATTTAAAATTAACTTTTATCAACGATAAGAGTTAGGTTATACTATTTTTAAAAGTTAAAAGTGAACATTATATTAAAAATAAATTTAAAATTATACTTGAACTTATAGTTTAGGGATAATGTTGTTCTTTTATTCAATAAAAAATATTCAATAATGTTTGAAATACTAATCATATGTCAACTATCCATGTCTTCACTTGTCAAAACTAGTGTGAACGTACATGATGAAAAGAATTTATTCGTAAGTGGAACGAGAACTTTAAATTAGGCGAGAGAGGAAGTAAGAAAACACTAAAAATAATATAATCATATTATATGTGGCTGTGAAAACGATGGGTAATATTGTGGAGAGGATAAATGGTACAATCATACGCGTTTACATTTAATGGGGCCAAAAAGAAAGTTAATGGGCCCTTTCAAGCAACTAAGTCAAAATAATGGTGAAGTTAATTATGATATATGAAGCACCAAGTAAAGATGTTTCATGTATCGGCACCTAGTTTGATTAAAGAAAAATTACATTCTGAGACCATTTAAATAAATTATTTACTGACAAGGATTACCAACAAGTTTCATTTAAGAAAAACAAATCATGTTTTTATTTTAATAAAATTCATTATATATTAATCCTTATTTATTAATAATTTATTTGCGTGATTCTTATATGTGATTTTTCCATTAATTATTGGTGACTGTGAACCCAAAAAAATAAATTTGAGAGAATTTTTTATTTTTTTTCAGATTTAAAATATAAATAACTCTTCTGAAGACTTTTTTTTATTTTGGACATATTGTAATTAATTTGAACAGTGAATTAGTTACTTAAATACTAAATGATTCTCCCTAAAATAATTGATTATACTAATGAAGATTGGTTTAATTAATAAGAATGTGGTTCAAACATTAATACTAAT